CTTCCTATACTTCTCATCAAGAGTTCTAGTCAACATATTCTGAGTCTGGCCGGGGCGCGGTGGTCACGGCCTATAATCCTAGATCTGGGAGGCGCCGTATAATCCTTAGCACTCTGGGGAGGCCAACGGTGGTGGTCGCTTAGGGTCAGATTTCGAAACCAGCCTGAGAAGAGCGAGACCTGGTCTCTACAAAAAAAAATAGCAAGAAATAATGCCAGCCAAATAAAAATATTAGAAATTGCAGGCAGATGTGCATGCCTGTAGTCCAGTTACTCCAGGAGGGCTGAGGCAGAAGGATTCTTGGCCCCAGAGAGTCTGGAGTGCTGTGAGGCTAGGCACTCTAGCCGGGCAAACAAAGTAAGACTCTGTCTCAAACACACACACACACATCTGGAGTCGTTATAGGCCTCACTGCTTGGTGTCAATCACATAATGAGCCACCGTACCCACATGCCAGTGCATATGCAGGCTTTGGGGGAAGAAAAAAAAAACACTGTTATGCACCTCGAGGGAGCTCAAATTGAGAGCTCTTACATTTAGCTTGTGGAAGACAAGGAAGACTAGAGTGGGCGGCGCTTTCTGACGAGAATGTATGTTCATTCTGGCTTGTGTATGTCAATGGGCAAGAAAACCAAGCAATTGATGGTGGGGAAGGAAATAGCAACATGATCACAACTCTAGTATCACAAAGTGACCTCATTCAGCTATGAGCCAAAAAGGTTTCACCAAATTTATTGTGCATTGGTTCCTGGCTTAAGGTGTTAATAAATAAATGTTGAATAATAAATGAAAGAAACAGGAAACCATCTGTAGCCTTATGAGATCTCTAAGTATGATGAGAACAACTGGGGCCCAGGACAATGTTTCCTGCAAACAAGCAAGGAACTACATTCTAGTTCATTCTTATAAACACTGGCTGTTGGAAACCAAAATGATTATGGCAACATTATCCACAGTGACCACAACTGAGCCTGCCCAGACCCACTGAATCTGAGTCACAATGTCATAACTGTAATACTCATTAAAGGCATAATTTTTATAGGTCGTGCAACCAATGTATGTTTTTCTTGGTGAAGATATTCATTTATGACCATAATCAGAACTGACATTGATTGATAGGTGGGGAGGGTGGCTTCCCATTCTGCTATCTCCCCTTGCAGTATTCGTTCAGTTGGGCAGTCCAAGAAAGTAGTTAGGTACTAGCTTCAGAGTGTAACAGAACTGAATCCCCAGTTACTCTGTGACCTTGACAATCTCAGCCACAATCTATCACCTGTGTAAAGGAGCTTACTTAATACTATCTACAGAGTTGTTACAAAGTTAAATGAGAAATGCTCAAACCAGTACTTGATACTTCAAGTCAACCATTCAAGCCTTCTCTCAAACCCTCACTCCAAATTCGTAGAGATGGAACTAGTGTAAGTACCACATACACTTATAGGGGAAGAAGGAAGTGTTGTGAGATACCTGTTCTTATGTCTCACTAGAAGTGCATGTCATGGCTTTTGATGGTTTCATTGTACAGAGTATAGAAAAGATTTCTAAAGAGGAGATTTCGAGGGATGAACGTCTCTCGCTTAGAAATACCTGTTTATATGGGCTATTTGCTCCTTTCCCAATGAATGCTTCTACTTTGACATATGAAGAGATAGGATTCAACTCTATAGTGTGCCCCATTGTTCAAAGAGAAATTACTATCACTCAGAATTGGAACCTGTGACGATGTTTTTCAGAATTATTCAGATATAGTCTAGAATAGCTCAGATCTTATCCTCCAGGTTCATATTGTAGATTATGCAAAGAAATAATGACATGTTAGGGCTCTTGAGCCTTAAGGGTATTGCATGTAGTATTTTTTGACAAAAATTGCGATCCCAGTATGATAATGTAAAATTAACACATCCTAAGTTCTCTGAAGAAAACCTTTACACTTGATTAAGCTGATAACATTACAGTGTACTATAATAATATAGGTAACTATTGAATAATATGATATAGAAATTTTTATAAATACAATAATTACCCACAATAGGCAATCAAGAAGATATCTTAAAGATTTACCTATGGACCAGTGAAGGTATGGACGGTATACTCAGCATGAGGAGTTTTGTCCATGGGCTATTTCTTAAATACAGGCAGGCATGCACATAACATATAGAGGAAGAAGATTTCTTGTAGTTAATTGGGGTAAAATAAATCACTGAGTGTGGATTGTTAGGGTTCTGCTCGAGAACAATAAATTGGGCGTATTATGGATAATACTAGGAACAACAGAATGTACACTCCTGGGCTCAAGCAATCCTTCTGCCTCAGCCTCCCAAGTAGCTGGGACTACAGGCATGCGTCATCATGCCCAGCTAATATTTTCTATATATATATTAGTTGGCCAATTAATTTCTTTCTATTTATAGTTGAGACGGGGTCTCGCTCTTGCACAGGCTGGTTTCGAACTCCTGACCTTGAGCAATACGCCCGCCTCGGCCTCCCAGAGTGCTAGGATTACAGGCGTGAGCCACCACGCCCGGCCATATCAGCTCTCTTTTATCATTCTTGGTTTTCCTATTCTCTTAGAAGAAATCTGTACTATTGATTGGTTAATGAATTAACTTTCCAGTAACCAGAGAGCCATTTTAGTTTTATCTAAAGAGAAATTGTTTCAGATGCTGCCTTATAACTTTTATGATTCCATTTAAAGAGAAAGTCAGACATCTTCTACAGTATTTCATCTGATCAGACTTCTTCTGTCAGTGAACAAGAACTTCAGTTGCTGGGTAACTTTAAACATCTTTGATATATACCTGCATTTTTATACTAATGTTGCAATATGTTTTTCAGGTTTTCAATTCAAAAACAGCCGAACTACTTAGTCATCATCAAGTGGAAATAAAACAAGAGTTTCCAAGAGAGGGGTAGGTTTAATATGTAAAGACGCACCATATTTGTTAGTCCATCTCACTCTATTTTCCCTGTGGATTTGTAAAGTAAACTTGGCCAGACACACTCCAGAGAAGACTTGAGAGACTGGTTTTAGTCAAGAAAAAAAGCAATAACTTGATATCTCTTTAAAAACATGTGGGTAATTGATGGCTTAGGAATTCAGTGACAGAAAATGAAGAGATGATAGAGTAGTACAGCAAAAGACTATTAAATATCAGAAATTCTACATTAGCTTTGAAGTCATTTAGCTTTGGGTCCATATTGTTGCCAAAATACTATTTTGCTGATATGAGTATCAGGTTTTTTTAAAAAATAAGGATATCGGCCGGGCGCTGTGGCTCACGCCTGTAATCCTAGCTCTTGGGAGGCCGAGGCGGGCGGATTGCTCAAGGTCAGGAGTTCAAAACCAGCCTGAGCAAGAGCGAGACCCCATCTCTACTATAAATAGAAAGAAATTAATTGGCCAACTGATATGTATATAAAAAATTAGCCGGGCATGGTGGCGCATGCCTGTAGTCCCAGCTACTCGGGAGGCTGAGGCAGAAGGATCGCTGGAGCCCAGGAGTGTGAGGTTGCTGTGAGCTAGGCTGACGCCACGGCACTCACTCTAGCCTGGACAACAAAGCGAGACTCTGTCTCAAAAAAAAAAAAAAAAATCAACCCAGAATCTTTTCTCTTTTCCCTATGCCTCTATGTTTCTTTAGCATAGAATCTCAATCATCTTTGTACCTCTAGGAAAGATGTTAAATAAAGTAAGTGGGTGTGCATTGGATAAATCATATTAGAACAAGGGAGCTGATGGTTCCCCTCTGCTCTGTACTGGTCAGAAGACTCCAAGAGTATTGTGTTTTATTCTGGATGTATAATTTGTATGATATGGGCAGATAATTGCATGTTCATAGGAACAATGGTGAAGGGACTTCCATGCCATGTGAAAACAGGGTCAGTTGAAGGAAATTGGATTGTTTATCTTAGACAGCAGAAGAGAAGACTTGAGGGACAAAAGAGCTGCTTCAAGTGTCTCAAAGACTGGCGTGTAGGAGAAGGATTAGACTTATTCTATAGATCTCCAAAGAATATGGCTAAGATCTATAGGTGGAAACTATAATGAAAAGGATTTTGTTTTTAAATACCAAAGTTGTCCAGTAGAGACTGGTCTACCATGAGAGGTAGTGAGTATCTTGTCACTAGAAGTGCTGTCTGGATGGTCATGACAGGTAAGATTCTAGAGGAGATTTGAGCATAAGAAGTGTTGTTGATTATATGGTCTTTAAGATCTGTCCTAATCTTAATTCTGGAAGAGATGGATCCTTTTAGCCCATTGTGTTCTCCAAGGATACACATTAGAATTACCTGGAGAGTTTTAGGAATCAATATCAATGCTCAGATCCCACCCCAGGTCAATTGAATTGAAATGTTTTGACCAGGGCTTGGAAAGTAGTATTTTTAAAAGCTCCCCAGTTGATTCTAAAATACAGCTAAATCTGAGAACCTCTGATTTAGCTGAACTAAGGATTAGTATTTTACTTATAGTAACTCATTATAAATATAAATAGCAATAAAACTAACCAACCATAATATAAGGTTACTCAGCATGAGGGAGTTTTGTCCATGGCTATTTTCTTAAAATACAGGCAGACACATGCACATACACATATAGAGAAGGAAATTTCTTGTAGTAATTGGTAAATAAATCACTGAGGTGATTGTTAGTCTGCTCAGAACAATAAATTGGGTATTATAAGTCTGAAAAGTTATTGCATTCCTTAAAGCAACCTTGGAGACTTTTATTTGGGTTTTGATCTGGGTCCATGTCTTTGTGTGCTGGTAGTGAAGTGGGAAGGAGTATGTAGAAAGAAAAAAAAAAAAAACTTGGCATTGGGTGTTCACTTTTCCTGGAGCCACTCAAAGAAAATAAACTAAATATCGCTACAATGTTTCAAATATTTTTTTGAATTGTAATGTTTAGTTGTGCCTATAAGAAAAGATGAGAGCTATTCTCCTGAAGTAGTTTTTTATGTGTTTACTTTTCTGTTTCCTTTTGTTTAACTTTCTCTTTAAAGCTATTGGTGTCAGCAACCAGAGGGAAACCACTGTAGTCTGGGACAAGTTAACTGGAGAGCCTCTCTACAATGCTGTGGGTAAGCTGTCATGTATGGGTATCAAATGCAGGGCCTTTCTCCACTTGCAAATGTGGTCATGCCGAAACATCTTGCTAAAAAAGCATGGAGTCATGTTTCCTATCATCCGATGGGATGGGCCAATGAGTCCTCTAAGAAATTAGCTGTTACGTATTTACCATTTTCAGATCAGTTACGTTCACATATTAAATTAACTCCTCTGCCATGCTTTCCTCTATCTGTAAAGTACTTGTGTATTTCTTCTTTTGATCTAGGAATTTGAATTACTCTTCTGAGGTTATGAAAATAAAATATCAGAATTTTAGCCGCTTCTACTACAAATTTGGCTATTTCAGCGGGGCTTAAAGAACTCAAAATCTCAAATATACCACTTTAAGGTATCATATCTTATTAGATGTAAATGATCATGGGTGTATTTTAGCATCATTCTTAGCACATGATAATTGTTGAGCACTGAGTGACACTGGTACTTCCTAAAAAGAACATTTTGTTCTAAATCTATAATCCCTGGCCGGGCGCGGTAGCTCACGCCTGTAATCCTAGCTCTCTGGGAGGCTGAGGCGGGCGGATTGCTCAAGGTCAGGAGTTTGAAACCAGGCTGAGCAAGAGCAAAACCTGTCTCTACTATAAATAGAAAGAAATTAATTGGCCAACTAATATATATAGAAAAAATTAGCTGGGCATGGTGGCACATGCCTGTAGTCCCAGCTACTGGGGAGGCTGAGGCAGGAGGATCGCCTGAGCCCAGGAGTTTGAGGTTGCTGTGAGCTAGGCTGACGCCACGGCACTCACTCTAGCCTGGGCAACAAATTGAGACTCTGTCTCAAAAAAAAAAAAAAATCTATAATCCCTAAAAATTTTATTCTGTCAGATAGCAAACCACAACTTTTTATCAATAAAATACTAAATTTGTGGGATGGGGTAGAAAATAGAACCAGAAATTGTCAGAGATGGGATGATTTATAGAGTGAGCTATTTTTACTTTCCAGTTACCTTAATAATATAGTTATTCTAGTATTGATTGTAAGAAAGCAACATTAAAGCAGAAAATATATGAAAAAAGGTACATTATAACAGTAGCATGAATTCTTGGGAAATAATCTTTATAAAAAATAAGGTATTTAATGTTACTGTATTATAAGAAAGCATTTAGTGTTTGTTCTATATTTGTGATAAGAAATTAAATTCTCAAAAAAATCTCAAAGAATTGTAGCCAAAGATCCTATTACACATAAGCACATCTTTTAAATCTTTATTTTGTTTTTATTCCCATGAACAGTTCATTTGAATTTAAGTATGGCAAATTATTATAATTTTAATGACCAGTACTTAAGAGAGTATTCTTTGATAGATCAATGTTAGCTAAATTCTTGAACTAGTTAGGATTTTACTTTCTTTTTCCCCTAGCAAAAGTAAGAGCCTACTCAAAGGAACCAGAAAGTTCCTGTTAAATTCTAAAGGTTGAATTGTAAAAATAGAACCTTGGACTTTCAATTGTCATTTTAAAATAATACAACTAGGTTAGCTGAATTTATGCTTACAGTGAAGGATTTAAGTAAATGTTTTACCAGAAAACCTTTGTGTTATGTGCTTGCTTACTTCTTTTTCTTCAACTGCATCCCTTTGCACCTCTCTCCCATTCTGTATGCTTTGCATTATGAATTCAAAAGTACCTATAGGATATGAAGAACTTTTTTCTGTACTGAGCCACATAAATATTTTGAGAACTTCTTATATGTTCAGTGTTATCCTAGGTATTATAAAGGATACAAATTATATTGGCTGTTTTTATAAATACTTTATAATCTAGTTTTAGAAAGAGAAAATTAGATTAGGGAATAATCAATAAAGCAACACTAGGAAATAGTGGATACATTATATGTTGCTAAGTTGAATAGGAATTAGAGCAAGTACATGTAAGTATGGATTTTGAATTTTTGGCATACCTTTCATAGTAGACGATGAACTTCACTGGGGCCTTGAAGCATATGTTGGATTGTGTTAGGAAAGGGAGAATTGAGGAATACTTTAAACAAGCTATGAAGGTGAAAATGAAAATGTATACACATATTTAACCAAAGGGTGAAGAAATTGATTGGATTCATGTGTAGTTTGCCTTTTTTTACTAGAACTAGCAGTGATAAAAATGCTCAGTAAGTACTAACTGCTATTACTGGGGGATTGAACTAAATACCCATATTATTTAATCTCAGAGACCCTGTGAAGCAAGTTTTACTAGCCTTATTTTATAAATGAAGTATGGAAAAGTTCTATACCTTGTCCAACGTCACGTAGCTGTAAGTACAGTAAAGCCATAGTTTGAACATAACCACCCTCCGACCTCAAAGCCTGTGTTCTAATTTGGATAGATAGGGGTCGGCAAGGATATAGAGGGCACTGAGAACCATGCAAAGTAGTGTAGACTTGATACACTGGGCAGGTTGGTACAAACTGGGTGATAAAGGAGAGTTCAGCATTCCACAATGGTAGAATGGATTATTTCAAACACACCAGTCTGCTGAGAACAAGTAGAAAAGCTGAGCCAAAATAAAAACAAGACTCTGAAGAACCGAAAGGCTACAAAGACATTGAGAAATTGTGGAACCAAGATCTAGGAGAGAAGGAAGCCCAGAGATGTAAGCCTGGCATTTGGTGTTGCTTATTCCCTGGAGATATCTGTAGGGTCTGAAAGGAGTATCTGAGAGGCTAAGCAGTACTTTCACAGGTTCATGAAGATAAGGAGGCAAAAGATAGAGTCAGGAGCTAAGGGTGGAATGGGTATTGGCAAAATCCCAGATTTTGGATTGGAACTGTAAAAGGCCAAATCCTGGAAGTCAGGTAAAGTGGAAACATACCAACCATCACAGGAATTGAAGCTCAGATTCAAATAATCTTTAACCCTGATTGAATAAAGATGATCTGAGATTGCTAATGCTACTAGCCTAAATTCTTTTCCTAAAAAAAGTAAATCATTTTTAAAGGAAGACAACATCACCTAGAGCCTCAAATTATCTCTAGAAATTTTCATATGCAATGTCTAGTTTTGTATCAAAAATAACCATGCATACAAAACAAAACATGACTGAAAAATCAACAGAAACAAGTGCATTAGAAACAGATTCATACGAAATCCAGATATTAGAGTTATCAGACTTTCAAATAATCATTATTAATATGTTCACGGAATTAATTAACAAGATTGATAATCTTGGCAAAGAATTGGAAATCAATTTTGAAATGACAGGTTTTATATCAGAGTAGACACATCTAAAGATGAATTCATGAACTGGAAGAGAGATCAGAACTGGAAGAGAGAGTGAATATTCAGAGTGCAGCACAGAGAGACAACAGTTGAGAAAATACAGAAAGGATTTTTTTTTTTGAGACAACGTCTTACTCTGTTACCCTGGCTAGAGTGCCCATGGTATCATCATAGCTCACTACAACCTCAAACTCCTGAGCACAAGTGATCCTCCTGCCTCAGCCTCCCGAGTAGCTAGGACTACAGGTGCACACCACTACACCTGGCTAACTTTTTCTATTTTAGTAGAGACAGGGTCTCACTCTTGCTCAGGATGGTCTTGAACTCCTGACCTCAAGTGATCCTTCTGTGTTGACCTCATGACTTAATCATTTCCCAAAGACCCCATCTTTTAATACTATCACATTGAGTATTAGGTCCAAACATTTGAATTTTGGAAGGACCCCAATATTCAGATGATAGCACCCACTAAAGGAACATTTAATAGTGTTTTTCAGGCAAAAGGAAAATGTTCTCAGAAAGAAATTAGGCAATACAGGAAGGAACACAGAGCCCTAGAAAGGGTAAACGTAGGTCAATCTCAATGAATTTTACTGCATAAAACAATACTGTATTGTGATGTTTAAAATATATGAAGATGTGCTCGTTTCAGCAGCACATATACTAAAATTGGAACGATACAGAGAAGATTAGCATGGCCCCTGCACAAGGATGACACGCAAATTCGTGAAGCGTTCCATATTAAAAAAAAATATATATATATATATTTTTCATATATATATATATGAAGAATTAAAAATACATGGTAACATTAGTAAATGAAATGAATTTGGGGTAAATGTGTTTAAGTATGTTGAGGTCCTTGTATTATCAAAGATGTATGTTATAAGTAGTAAAAGAGTAAAATAATATATAATTAACAAGCTTAAAAGGTGGTAAAATGGAATAATTTTTAAAAAGGCAAGAAAGAGAAAAAAGGAACATGAAACAGGGAGGAAGGACAAATAGAAAGCATTTAAATCTAAGTATGTAAGTAGTTATATTAAAAAGGACAAGATTCTTCTCTCCACAGTAAAATCTAGCAAAGGAGAACTTGAAACTGCTAGTGAGTTGATGAGATTAGTGCAATGAAAATGAAGAGAAGGCAAATTGGTAAGACCTTTCAGAGGAAAGATACAACCTCTATGTTTATACATTGGATAGAGCGTAAGTATGAGGGAAAAATAAAACAAGGCTACAAGATTTTCAGCCTGAGAGAACAGAAGGAAATTAAGTAATATTTAAGGGGTGCCCTTAAGGGAAAAATGCCCTGGAGGGAAAAATGGCTTTCTGTTTTGGACAAGATGAGTATTGGACTTGTGATTGAAGCTAATTTCTAAGCAATTAGAAATTAGATTGTTCAAAATATAGACTTGAAATTCAATGACATAAATGTGATAATATCAATTTGGTATAGATGAATTTACTATAGGAGTAAAGGTAAAATTAATTAGTTCAGTAAAAATTTAGGTGTCTTTTTATATTCCAGGTTCTGTGATGACCCCTGGCATAGAGTGACAAACCAGCAAGACCTGGTGCCTGCCTTTGTGTCACAGAAGCTAAGGATAGGAATTTGGGAGCTAGAAGGAGAAAGGGAACTAGAAAATGAGGAAAGAGAAGGAGTAACTGATTAGGAAGAGAAGCCACTAAGTAATGACAAGAGTAGATTCTGCCTCAAATTTATTTTGTCCAGGGAAAG